CTGGTCTACATTGCATGCTGATGTAGCGCTGCCTCTGGTCTACATTGCATGCTGATGTGGCGCTGCCTCTGGTCTACATTGCATGCTGATGTGGCACTGCCTCTAGTCTACATTGCTGATATGGCGCGTGCCATTGGTCTTCATCGATGATGTGGCATATGCTACCTGTCTTAATTGCTGTCGTGGCATTGTCCACGCTGTCTACATGAGGTGATTGGTTGTGAGGAGGAGGGAGATCGGGATTTGTGGATGATTGGGATCGGGTACTCACATGAGGTTGACGTCGTTACTGTAGTCTGCTGTGTCTTCATGGTCTTCACGAGATAAGAGTGCCACGTGGCACTATTGTGTGATCAGGATTATTATACTTGTTATCATATTCTGTTGTCGACGTGGAGAGGGAAGAAGCCCAGAGAAGGAGTGGTGTTTGATGGGATTACTCTTGTGTGACCTTTAATCATCTCTTCCACCTTCTCCTCTGTCTATTCCCCCTCCGCTCTCTTCGTCTAATGGTAATGAGATACCGTTTCAGAAATCAATTCACGATGATTGGAGAGTTTGTTGCAGATACTGAGACTACTGGTATTTGACGACTGATGAGTATCTGCCAGACTGGGTTCATTACAGCTGGATCATCCAGAACTGAGCATTGATGCAGTGGTGGGCTTGAAATTTGAATATTCTCCATGGGACTTCACTTTGATCCCAACTCACTCATTCCATTCATTCGTCAAGATGATAAAGTGATACTCAGTCAGGGAGAGAGCTCATGAACTCTATTCCTGGCCGGTGCAGCTTTGACAAACGAGTGTATGACTTTAGCCTCGAACCAAATCGGTGATTTGAACCCGCTTTCTTCCCAGTGAGACACCTTCCGGAAGAACCATGATTTCATAGGTTTGGTTCAACAAGACCAGTTGAGCTTTGACTAATGAGCGTACGATAGTAACCTTGAACTGGTCCACAAAGCCCGACACACAACTAACCATGGTGCACCTGATATCACAAGAGCGGGAGATAAAGAACAGGACGGGAACAAGAAACACACGAGAAGCATCCACTCTCTTGGGTAACGTGAAGCAATCACAGGAAGGGTGTGGCATGCACGGCTCCCACATGGGCCCCTTTGAGGCCTGACATCGGACAGGGAGCTTGGGGTATAGGGGTTCAGGGGTATTTGTTCCGTTTCTTTGGGTCATCTGCATTGTTCAAGGGTTCATTTTGTTGAGTTCTCAGTTGTTTGTCTGTTCACAGTCTTTTGTCGTTATCTGGATACGCCGTTTCAGCAGTTCTGTTCGTTTGTCTGATTCAGGAGTTCCGGTCCGATTGTGTTGTTCCAGCATTCTAGGCCAGTTCATGCCCAGAGGCCGTGTAAGGCCAGGCGGTGGGCGCATTTTTCTTTAGGCTGGACCTCGTTTTGGTCCAGCCCACATTTTCATCCCTTGTAGAGGACAGGATGCCTGGGCATCCGGTAGGGACCCAGGCAGGGTGACGTAGGCCAGGTTCACGACTACTATAGGATTTGGGCCTGCATCCTGAACCGCCGATCGGCATTCCGATAAGACGATCAAGGATGCAGACCACAGCTGCATCCAGTAGGCCCAGCACTATATTTCGCTGGGGCGCCCACAATCTGGAGGCAGCATTCAGAGTTTGAGACACAATGATGCTGGAGCAGCGCGGCATCTGTAGAGGAGCTAGGCTAGAGCTAGGAGATAGGAGGTTAGAGGGCGGAGGCCAGGGATGTGAGGGACTTACCTGATCGACTTACCTGGGTGTCATCGCTGCAGTTCGCCTCCAGGGCGCTTCCACCTGCATCACAACTTCAAGGCAACACCTTTGCGCTAGTTAGTATCTGTCTCCGTGATACAGAGAGAGAGCGAGAGGATTCTTCTTCTTCTTCTTCTTCTTCTTCTTCTTCTCTTGTGCTCCTTCCCTCCATCTCCATTCCTCTTCTTCTTCATCTTCCTCCAATGCTTCTTCTTCTTCTACGAGGGAGAGACTCAGACATTGTACTCGGACAGAGACATTGGGGATTATTGTTAGAGACTATACATTCGCAAGGGTTACTTGAGTCGATGTGTCCTCTTCTTCTTCCCCTTCATCTCTTCCTCATCCCCTTCGTCCATGGAAGAATGAGTTCGAGCCCGGTGACCCGCTTTTATGTGCATTGTCACCCCGCCATTCCCACATTGTGTGATGATGGATGTATGCAGTCAGCCCTGAGTCGTGATGACTCAGACCTGTGTATTTCAGTCTTCTGGTGCATTGTTATTGCTCTTTCTCCTTTGGTCGGTTCTTGGGTTCTGCGCCATGCCTTTCTGATGTTGTCGGCAGGTGACGAAGGGTGTATTGCTCTTTCTCCTTTGGTCAGTTCTTGGGTTCTGCGCCATGCCTTTCTGATGTTGTCGGCATGCGACAAAGGGTGAGGAGGCCAAGAGGAGGAATGATGAGAGAAAGGATGGGAGGAAAAACACTGGAGGACACAGAGTGGAAGAAGAGAGGTGTGGGGTGGAAGAATATGGAGGGGTCCGAGCGGGTGAAGAGGAAGATGGCCAGGAGGCAAAAGCAAGGTAGCAGAAGATGATGATGGCGAAGGAAGAGATGGGGGCAAGCACTTCGCTTCGTGAGGTGAGTGGGAAAACAGGATGATGGGATTGACTCTACAGAAGTTGGTGGAGTGGGTGGAGGAGGAGAGAGTGGTGACGATGGGGGGACTGGAGGAGGGGAGCATATCGTTCGGAGGGATTTAAGGAATGAAGCCCAATCCCTCGAGTCCAATTACTGATTGAGGTTTTGATAAGAACTAACGATTGCATTTGCCATTTCGCAAACAGGCATCAAGCATCCATGCCAGATCCTAAAATACCCCATCCGTCCCCCCTAGTCTTCTTTTGTAAAAAGACAACCACCGATTCAAGGACTTGTTCCTCTCTGAGCTCTCCCATCAACTCCACTGCTTTTGACTCCTCTCCCTTGAGTTCCTTAGCTCAGTCACCATAGCCGAAGTTCCCATACCCTAGCTCACCATAGACATCCCGCACCTGACAGGGTATCACTAGCTATGAGAGCCTTCTTGCATCCGCTTGGCCAGATTACCCTCTTCTTTGAGAGAGAGGATCAATCCACTCAAATGAGATCCACCACCAGTAAGTGATGCCATTCTTGGAGATCATCAACCTACTAATAGTGTAAGCTTCTACAGACCACCTCTCCAGAAGTGACAGGAGCCAGGCAAAGGATGTAATTTTCCAACTCTCAGCCCTCGACGTTCTCTAGATGGTTATCTGCCATGATCTCATTGTTTCGTTTTCAGCAGAATCTGGCCGACAGAAACAGTACACATGCCATGCACAGAGACTGTGGCATCCATCATCCAGCAGTTTGCATGAAATCGCCACCTTCCTTTCTTGATTCCTCCTCCTCCTCCCCCCTTCCCTCCCTCTCCCCTCCCCATTCCACTGGCATTGTGCTTGGCCACAGTGTCCACACACGCATAGACCAACATGGGACCAAGTTAGGGGACCAGAGCCAACTTCAAGAAAACGGGGATCAACAGCGCCACCTCCTCAAGTTCTTAATTATTTCCCTGCAAAACTTTCTCTTCCGCGCTGACATTCCTAAGTCTCCTCAAAATGGAGTGCACACCTTTGCCTTGGAGCACGATCCTCACCTGAATACACTCAGCTCACGCAGCATGTCTCCCTCATCTCTCAATTCTGCTGCAGTCTCCCGATCGGCATCTACTATCTGCTATGCTGCATGAGCTAGGAGCGCAGCGAGCCAAGTATCCCCTCTAGTATGGTTGTGTAGGCAGGCATAGTCAGTGTGACATAAGCTCCGTTGGTCAATCAAAACGTTTTATGCGGTCACTGCATTGAAGCGTGGACCATCCCAGACAAATATGCATCTGAGGACAGAGTCCGTCAAATTCTATTCCATTCCATAATAACCCCTCATTCACGTCCAAAGAATGTGAATAATCGACAAACTGGAATTCCCCACGTAGCAAGATCGAGATCTCTTTCTGTCTCAGACAGTACCTGGTCATACCAGTGCAAAGGATATCTACCCGATAGGGAAGAAGTCCGAAGAACGCCTGAGTGATTCTGCTTAGATCACAACAACACAGACACAGGCACAAAATGGAAGGATAGGGAGGAAGGTATGTACGAGAGAGAGAGAGAGAGAGAGAGAGAGAGAGAGAGAGAGAGAGAGAGAGAGAGAGAGAGAGAGAGAGAGAGAGAGAGAGAGAGAGAATGGAGGGAGGAGTTGTGGAGGTGGGGATCAAAAGTAAAGGAACACGATGAAATGAACACTACAGCTACGGCCCAGCAACAGCGTGGTATACCTAAATTTGAAAGCAGAACAAAGGGCAGTGTGACCAGGAACGCCAGGCCCGTTGACAATATAAGCCTGCTGCAGGCTAAGTATTGAATGCTGATGTTTGTCAGAAGTGTGACAGCGGATGGAAAGGTGGAAGTCGTCGTTGTGAACTACCACTTGAAGAGACTTGTGACTTGAACTCCTGGTGAGGGAGAAGGATAGGGTACCTTATTCGCTCGAGGAGCAATGACAAAGAAGTTTAAAGAACATGCTGGTTCTTCAGGCTGAAAATAATACACACCATGAATTGGGGAGGCAAGAGATCAACTGAGAAGCTCATTGCTCTTCATGTTCAAGCCTGGCTTGTATCACCAAACTACTGCTGTTTGCTTCGCTGAGGTTTTGCTGAGTTCAGGCGGTGCTTGTCTCATCCACAAAACGCACCCGGCATGAAATGATCCAAACCGAAAAGTAGGAGAAGGCCTGGGATATTGGACACCTGGCAGCAGGATTGTTTGATTCCGGCAGAGTGGGTGTGTTCAGCTCAGTCAGAAAATGAGAATCATGGCAGTCAGCAGGAGGGAACAACAGGTGGGGAGGCTGGTGTGATCAAGCTGACGAGGGCAGGCGAACATGATTTTTGCATCCAATGGCTACTGCGCGGCTGGTTGTGGGGCAAGGGACTGGCCCAGGGAGGTGGAGTTGAAGATTGGCTCAATAAGAGATGGCCCAAGGGCGATGGAAGAGGTGGCAGCAAGGATATTCAGAGGAGCAGGGGCAGGCTTAGCGGGTGCAGCAACCAGGGTGCCTGGTATGGCGGGAGGCTCATGAACAGACTGGACTGTAGCTGTAGAAGTGGATGAGGGGATGGAGGACGAAGGAGCTGGTGTGAGAATTTGAGAAGGAGAAGGTGATGAAGTGAGTGAGAGACGTGTAGAAGAGACAGGAGAGGGCGAAGGGGCAGGGGATGGAGTTGGGGAAGAACGGGGAGATCCCTCAGGAGAAAGGGGTATGAGAGAACCAGGTTGTCCTGGAGTGGTTGCATCCATAGGTTCGGGAGGAGGGAGGATCTGAACAGGAGGTGGCATGGAAGGAGGAGGAGGAAGAAGCTGGAAGACATCAGTAGGGGCCGGAGGAGTGTCGATCCAGTCCCGAACATAGCACAATGCTACGTCATCAAGGAACTCGCCTTCCCGGTGACCGCCAAACATAGCGAGGAAATAAGTAGTTCTGTTGTCGGAAGACCTCCAGGAGAGCACGCCACCAGAGGAATCATACCTCTTGACGGGTTGCCTGGTCCCGACAAGGTCCCACGTCACCTCTTCCCACCGCTTCTTCCGTACGTGAAAACGCCACATGTCATCCATCTCTGTCCTGAGACGAGGGCCACCCAACCCTCCAGCAATATACATCCAATCTTCTAGACCAAACGCTACATGAGCGAACCTACCTTGAGGTATCAGAGTGGGGAAGACAATAGCATCAGCAATGGTGGGCGGGGTTCCTTGGCGAATACCGGCCTCCATGTAAAGATCAAACCTTGGGCCGACCTTCAACCAATCCGTGACTGAGAAGTTGAACCTCCAGACCTCATTGGAAGCTCGACCAAGCCCTCCTGGTGGCAAGCCAGTGGTGGCATCCTCTGGGGTGTAACCGCCGTAAAGGTACATCTCGTCATTGATCATAACAGCAGAATGGCCAAATCGAGGGCTAGGCCATCGAGCGCCAGTTGGTCCTGGTGTGATTCCAGCTCCAATCTGTTCCCATTTTCGAGTGGGGATATTAAAGCACCACATGTCTCCCAATGGTGCCGGGCTCCTCCCTCCAAAGATGCACATGCGCTTGCCCTGCACGACAGCAGAATGATCGTGCCTAGCTGGTGGAACTGGCCCTGCCACCGGAATGAAGGTCCAGTCTATCTTTTCCAGTGAGAATACCCATACATCACTATACTCATACGCACTCCTCTCCCCTCCGAAAATGTACATGTTGTCCTTGAACATGACAGCACTATGTCCTTGTCGAGCTGGGGGCTTTGTCGTCGGCATTAGTTTTGTCCACTTCATTGATGTAGGCGACCACATGATCCTCTGCTCTGCTTCTGGTTCAGACACAATAAGGGCCCTGTCCCAAGGAGTGGCAAAAATCGCATCCCAGTACCCATTCATCTCAGACAGCATCTTATCCGTCCCAAAATGAATGAATATGTCCTTCAAGGCTGACGTGGCATTACGGTGCACGGACCTCTTTGCAAACTGGCCATCTACATACAGCTCAACAGAAAGATGGTCCCCATAGAAGGCAAAGGAGTGCCATGAGCCAGGAGAGCGATGGACGCGTGAGCTTGTCCATGGATAGTATGCCGAATAGTAGCCATATGAGGCAATCGTGTATAGCCCAAGGCCATTGAGCTCAGGAAGCATGACCTTGTCCACGTCAGGATCCGTACACCCATCAAAGTCCGGACTGATCCAGTGACCTCCTCCTTGGCATCCACCGTCAAAGAAGTATCCTTTGAGAACATAGGACCGCATGTTGTGAGGAAGAGAGATGAGGATGGAGCTTTTCTCACCCATGTTTGCACCCGTCACCTTAAGGCTACGTCCACCATGGATGGAGACATCATCTGATGTCACGAAGCGATCAAAATTTGTGTCATTCGTAACAGTGACGCAAGGGCCAGGACCCCAGTTTCCAGTGTTAGGCAGAGGACGCTTTCGTCTGAACGCAGAGACCGGGGGCCCAGTATACTCGAAGTCTTCGAAAAAATCAAAGATTGTCGACGTTGATCGCGTTTGCCCCAGTGGGTTGCCATAGTAGATCCAAACGAAGGGTATGTTGAAAGGGATATGCAACCAGAACACGGTAGCATTGGAGCGGCACCCAGGGATAGGGTCCAGCCAGTACCGCAGATGCTGTCCCTCTGGACCAATAAACAACACATCCGCACAGTCCCATCGGACCTTACCTTGACTGAACATCATGTTCGTGTCCAGCTTGATCTCGACATTCATCGGGTCATCAAAGACTGCACCCGAAATCTTCACTTTTGCCCTGTACGTCCACACACCTCCTCCCAACTCCGAGCTGTACGACTCATTCAACCCTGGGTTAAATAACCACGTCTCGTCCAGATAGGTCTTGTCTCGAGCTGTGCCGCCGAACACAATCAACTGGTTGTCTTTGACAGCGGTGGAGTGCTCAAACCTTGGAGATGGGATGACGCTGGCAGGGGGAATAAGAGCGACGACTCGTGGCCCAGCTTGTGTCACAGTGACGGTCCCAGTCTCAATAACGAGGGTTTCATCCAACAACAGCTCGAGGGTGTGAACACCGCTGTCAAGGAAAGTTACCGAAAAAGTGTAATATCGGTCCCCTGCATCGAACTTGCTGGTCTTGGCTGGGGGTGTACATCGGACAGAAATCCTATCCAGATAGTGTTTTGTCGGCCCCCCCCAGATGGGGTTGAAATTCTCATCGTACGCAGCCACCTGCACAGTTACCGGCATCCCCACCTCAGCTGTCCAGGGTATCCCAGCGAATCGTGTGTTCGCGGATGGCGGCCCAGGCCTGACAACAGCAACACCTGTGTAAACGGTTGCATTATCGATGGTCACCGTGAACTGATGGGCGCCCGTAAAGTTGACGAAGAAGTGGAGGAGGTGTGCATTCTGAAAGATGCCACATTCATTGTCAAAGCTTTCTCCTCCCCATTCAACTTGGAAATTGATTCGCCGAGGAGCACCGCCGACCTGAAGAGGGTAGCAAGCATAGGGGAGAGCGGTGGAGGACAAGGGAATGTTGCAGTCAAAGCGGGTGAGAGAGTACGTGCTCTCTACGCAGTCGAGGGCATTGACCTGGATGTCAAAAGGCAGTTCGCCGGCAGCGTTCTTCAAGCCGCATTCGTCAAAGGCCAGCACGGTGTAGAGCGCACGCTTTCCCGCTCTGACATTGCTGAAGTTCCATCCCCCAGGATGAGGTGTGCCCGGAGCTCCCCCGCCTTCTAGCTCCATCCACCACAGCATTGGAACCTTGGATTGCAAAGAAGGGACGACAGCCTCTGGAACACTATCGTATGAGCTTTTGGAGACCCAAGACGGTGGACCTTGAGCCAGCACTGTCTGAGGAACGCCATTGGGCCGAGAGCACGACGCCATCACCGCAAGTGTCACTGGGAGACCAGCCAAGGGACAAGGGTCGCCAAAAATGGAGGGTGATGCGCTGACCAGGCAAGTCTGATTTCCCAGGCATAGAGTCTCCACATACTGTGTAGTGTTTTCAGTCTTGCACTTCGGGTTGGCGAAGTAGGCACCGAGAGGGCCAATGTTGTGGCCCCAGTTAGCATACAGAATAGTCGTGATGGCAGTGGATGACGGACACGTCAAGTTGAGTTCACCCCCTGAGTTGGCACGGCCTCCAACCAAGCCAAGGTAGCCATGGTTACCAGTGGGACTTGCATCAAAGACTCGGTTTGACATCGACTTCTGGTTGAACATATAGTAGGCTACCAGTGCTGAGGAAGAGGGTGAGGTAGAATTGGCACCACTGCCTGTTGGCGTAGCATCTGGCACAAATGGACAGAAACCATCATATCCTGGCTTGGCCAGATTTTCCAAGATTTTGCTGCGGTCAGTGGCAAATACTTTCATCCTGGCCAAGCTCCCTTGAAAGTTCTCCCCTACTCTAACCAGCTGTCGATTGCCTCGAGGATATTGTGGCAGACCAGGATAGCTTCCAGTCACTACGGGCACATTGTCCACCTCCACTTGCATGACAGTCCCATTGTACCAGCCCACCACATTTACCCAGGTCCTGTATTGGATTCTTGTCCTTCCAGTTGCCACACGGAACTGATCCGATCCAATGTACACTCCCATCTCTAACTGATAGCTATTCGGAATTCCAAGGAAGCTGATGGCAAGCCAATACCCCTTGTCAGTTCGATCTGATTTCTTGCTAAATATGTACTCCCTATGCCCAGCACCAATAACTGCACCCGCTAATTTGCGTAAGGGCCTCTGCTCCAAGTCCCTTGGAGGCCCTAGCCGAGGGGTAAAGGGGGGGCTGTCTGCAGGGGCTGGTGATGGGCTGGGTGACAACAGTGGTACTTCCGCCAGTGCCTCTGGTGAAGGGGGAGTTGTTGTGTTATCAGGTGGTGAAGGTGGTGAAGGGGGACTCTCAGGTGGTGAAGGAGGAGATGGAGGAGAAGGAAACATAGGTGGAGGCGGAAGAGATGTCTCGATATCCCGCCACAACCATGTTTGGATGGTGAATGGTCCCTTGAAATCCAGTTGGTCGTTGTCCGGAAATGACACAAATGGTCCTCCCCTTTCCAGAACTAGGGTTCCATCCACATCCTCAGCCGCTGCCCTTGAAAACAGGGGAGATGCCCCGACAGCAGCTGTGTTCTTAGAGCCAAGTGTCGACCAAGGTGGAGAACGCAAACCGGAACCTGAAGTCAAACCGGAAATAGAGACAATCGATGCAATGGATGACAAGGCAGAGCTGGGCTTAACCTCGAGGCAGTAGCGACATATCTCGCTTCCAACCAGAATCCTGCGCTTTGATGCTTCTTGCAGGAGCCGTCTCCTGCCGGGTTGGTCCTCTTCAGGTGGCGATGGGGGTGCCGGAGGAGGTAGTGGTGCTGGTGGAGGAGGTGCTGGCGGTGGGGGCAGACTGCTCCCCTCGCAAATTGACCTGTTGCACAGGGTGCCCATCATCCGGTACTTGCCAGGAAGGACGGGTACGAACTCTACTCTGTATGTGCCATCTCCTGCATCATTCACCGGAACTTTTGATGTGTACATTCCTTCGAACCACACATTCCATTCAGTTTCATTCCCGGACTTACGAACATTGCCATATTTATCGACAGTGACAAGGGTGAGGTTGGCTGCATTGCCAACAATGACATCCTTGGTGTTCTCTTCATACACAGCATATGTCATTTCGAGAGCGGTGTTGAATGCTGAAACCTCCACAACCGTCTGGTTAATCACCACACCGTTCAACAAAATGTTGACAGTGTAAGGCCCACTGAGGGTCTTATTGAACATGAGAGTGTAAGACCCGTCCCCGTGGTCCCTTAAGCCGTTGTTTGCAAAGGTGAGGCCGGTTTGTTCCCGATGGGGAGGAGGGCCCTCCACCAAGACCTCAAAGTTCTCACCGCCAAGCTTTCTGCCCAAACCACAAGCTCCCTGGGAGGTGAAGGTCAAGTAAATGATTTCGCCAGCGATTGCCAGCTGGAGGGCTCTGCCCGCAACATCTACCTTTGTTGTCTGCCGTTCATACCCGATGCACTGAGATGGGACCCACATGCCCATCCCGAGATTGGGTGCTGGAACAAGCATGGCCGCTGAGAAAATCCCAGCCCCGCTCTTATCGTGGAGATACATTCCAAGGCCTTCTCCCATTGGAAGATCGTATACGACATTCATCAGGGGTGTGCGGGTCATGCATTGAGAGTCCAGCCTCACCAGCTCGAGGTCACCCTCTCGTATGGGGGTATCATACAGTCTGAGGCCATACAGCTGACCATGGAGGAAACTCATTGGACGGCCGAGCACTCCTGAACTCGCACCAATCAGCAATGCATACGTCATGCGAGAGGGTGGGAACAGCACAGAGTCATACAACACCGTGTCCTGAAGCATCCCATCGAGAAACAAATACCATGCAGAGCCATTGTACGAAGCTGCCACATGGTGCCATTTGCCAGGCGTAATATTTGCTTTCTGACTAGCAATGCTCCGGTACGCCACGGGCTTGTCCATGCTCGACACATTGCAGGCTGGAGAGGTCCCCACATAAACAGACGCGACAAGCATACCATTATGGACCCCCAGGCTGAAGGAATTCATGCCTCCGCTTGCATCTCCCTTACTCGCTGGAGGTATTAGCTTGCTGAAGACAGATTGAAATCCCCCAGCGTCATAAGCATACAACCATGCGGTGACAACCAATGGACCAACACCAGAGCGCAGGTGACCACTCGGAACCAACTCGGACGGCAGCTCACCCCTGTTTGTCTCCCACCAAAGATGCAGGTCAACATCTCCCGTGTCATGGGTGTAATAAATTTCCAATGCATGCCATGTGTTGCCCCTGAGAAAGATGGAGCCAGTGAAGTTTGCCGGGCCAGACAACGTGCGAGCATCAATTACAGTTGCATTATCCACCAGCAAGAGGATGCCGCCATCAGAGTAGACAGTGAAGTTGTAGATGTCACTAAACCTGGCTGTCTGGAGATACCCAGTCAAATGACATGACCAGTCATCTATCTGTAGAGGGAAAGGGGGAGGACCTATGGCAGTCCAATTGAAATCAACTTGAGGGGTGATAATGTCACCGTAGCTCCCAAAAGGATCATAGAAACGGGCAAGCAGGCCAGCAGGGCCAACTGGGACTGCAGCGTTATCACTGGCTAGGGGCCGAGAAACAGCATGTGTTCCATTGACAAACTCAACAGCGTAGTCATCATTCAAAAACCAATAGGCAGACTCTTCCCAGCTGATTGTCCGGTTGTAAATCCTTACCCCATCAATCATCCCTCGGAATCCGTCACCACCAATGATGCCTTCTTCAAGAATCCGGCGAAGGGGAGGCTCATAGGCGCTTGCGTTAGCAACAAGCCGCCCATTCACAAACAGGGTTCCATCCAAGTTAAGAACAGCAAGTTTCCAAGCATTTGTGACAAAGTTGTGGTCGCCACCTCGCCTGGTATCTTCAATCAGGTAGCCCACACATGACACATATGGAGGAACAGGTGAGTCCTCAACGTAGATCCAGGCAGCAACAGCTGTCCAATCTCGCCTATCATTTGAAGGAAGAACAATCTCCCCCCCATTCCCCCACAGTTCGCCTCCCACGTCGAAGCGATATGCCTCCCTAGCCAAACCGCAGCGATTGGAGTCCAGCTTGACTATACCCTTGATACGCCCTGGCTCAGGAATGGGTTCATTGACCCAGACGGCCCAACCATCTGGACCATCAGATAACGGATACCATGCCACCAATCCGAAGGCAGCGTCTTGAAGTGTCGGCAGGAAATCATATTCCATGGCCCCCAGTCCCCCCGAGCTGCAGCCATGTATCATGTCCTCAGGAGCATCCGCATCCCCATGCATCGCGAACACTTTGTATGTTCCGGCACTCGTTACATTTGGCAGGTTGACTGTCAAGTTGGTATGATCCCTCCATATCACCTTTGGAGCCTTTGCCATAGTACCATTCTTCTCGGCGTAGACGTTGACCTTGCGACCAGGAGAGAAGTTGATTCCCGTAATGGTGACATTCATCATTCCGGACATGGGGCCCTGAAGCGGCTTGTGCACCCTGCTGGCATCTGTACCCTGTTGGATACCCAGAATTGTGGGTGCAAACCAAGGAGCACCCGTGTGAGCATAGGTGGTGTGGACCGTCAAGAGACCAGCCCCAGGTGTAGTGACCTGACTGTCAAAGGTGAGATCAGCAGGACTCCAGATGGACGTTGTGGACTGCGGGAGCTCGGCAAATGCCCAGGGATCAGCAGAGTCGACCACCTTAGTCGGATCAGGACCATCACGATTGAATCGGTAATAGACAACCAGCCATGGATCGGGGTCTGTTTCAGGAAGAACCTCCGTCAGGCAGTATTTGGTCAGGACTTCATCAGAGCTTAATGCTCTGGAATAGCCACGAAACTCATCCACCATCCCAGCAAAGTACTCTCTTGGCACATCCATGTAGTCCAGGTCCATTCCGATGATAAGCCTGCCTAGGCCGCTGGCATCCGGACGAGACTTGGTAGCAAATGAGACCATTGGACGTCCATCCAAGTAGATGTAACCGTTGTTCTCTTCATCGACAGTTACCACGACGAAATACCATCTTCGAGCTGCCAGATCAAGAGGTTCCCCATCCTCATCACGTACGACCACATCATGTATGAAGTCATCATAATAATAGAAATGGCCGGTCGCCATGTTCCCATGCCACTGCAAGACTGCGCGATTGGGCTCAGATCCAGAGCTGCCAAAGCTGACGATAGCTCTGACACCCTCCTGGATCTCGGGATAGACCCAGATGGAGAAAGAGTACGCATTTCTGGTGAACTTTGCACTGGCATAGCGGCTGAGAACAAAGTCCTTTCCCATCCACCGGTTGGAGCAATCAAGGGCAACAGAGAGCCACTTGGGCATGGAGGGGCATGGGTCGACTCCTCCCAGCATGGCCGCATCGACATAGATAGAGCAGTTGGACCGACCCAAGCAATCAGCAGACAATGCCGCTTCAACAGCTGCCGCTGCTGAGCAATTAGTGTTAACCTGGAAGGCAGTGTAGTTGCAGCCAGATGACGCCAACAGATCACCACTGTCGGATACCATCGATACAGCAGACTCGTCATCTTCGTTGCCACATGTCGGAGGCTTATACTCAGGCGGATGGAGACACCGGCCATCAGGCTGCCCATAGTCAGCAAAGAGTACAGTCTCAATCCGCAACCCAGGATCGCAGACCAATGACAACACCCCACCGTCATCCACAGACCCAGCGAATCGGACAGCCTGGGTGGACAGGTTGCCCTGGAGCACAAGCACTCGCTCGTGGAACCGCAGGATGGCAGCTGACCGACTCTGATTAGACAGTAGGGGCCCGCCGACGGTTACTTTCACCGCTCCAGCAGAGAATACTTGGGGAGCCGGGCAAACCACCTTGGTTGTGCTGTCCCCTGTTATCTCCGACATAAGATACTGAGTTCTTTCAGCCACTGGATTGGGCTGGACAATCACTGGTTTTGGCAGTGGCATCAGCCCAGCAGGCGGGATGGGAGGCCACAGCCCCCCAAACCCTATACTCATCGTTGTGAAATTGCAGATATACCAGGGGCTCCCACCAAAGTTGAACCCCTCAACTGTGATGCCTTGCCCTCCATCGATAGTGACTGTTACTCCGTCCTCATCCCCCTCTGCAATCCTATATGTGGACACTGGTTCCCAGGGTGCTGACACATAGTACCACGGTGGAACTTCCACTGCTACCCCTGGCACCCCCCTAATTGAGGCTGATCTGTTCACATGCAACTGGAATGGAAAAGAGTCGGCCACAATGCTGTAGTTAACTGGCATGAAGATGTTGACATCGGCGCTGAGTTTCTGCTGCCAGGCATGACGTAGAAGAGGCTGAAACCTGTAGTAGGCAACAGGCTTAATCAGCTTTCTGCGTTTGAAGGGAGGTAGGAGGAAGTCGGCAGCAGAACTGGCCATGGCACTGGAGGCATACACACGCACCTCATCGATGAACCCCTTGAAGAACTTCTGTTGATCAACATACGGACAGGTATGGCCATCAATCTGAAGAAGTCGCCTGCCTGGCAGGTCCTCAGGGTCGAAGGTCTGAATTACGCCCTTGGCACCTGGGACACCATGTTTCTTCTTCACGCTGGACTGGCTGAAAGCTGGAGGGGGCGGAGGCCGGAGTGGCGGCGGCGGAGGCGAACTTGGAGCTGGTGGAGGAAATGGTGCAGGTGGTGGAGATGGGGGACTGGGAGGCGAGGGTGGGGAAATCGGCTGGTTTGGAGGTGCTGGAGGCGCAGGTGGAGCCGGCTGTGGGGCTGTGTGCTCCCCCAGTCCCCCAATGAAGAAGGAGCCATCTGTCGCTGGGCGACAAGGTGTGAGATGGCCATCAATGCTTGGTGCCGGGGCCCATCTCCCATCACACATCAGGTTTGTAAGCATCCGTCCATCCGTGTGTGGTTTTGCACTGACTTCACAGTAATGCCACTCCTTGTGTTCTACAAGAACACGGGCACCAGTGGTGTAGTTGAGACCAGTGCCTGCAGTGCATGCACTCAGCAGGTACGCATACTCACCTCGCAGCATGATGCAGCTCTGCAGATCAGTTGGCAGGCCATCAGCTGATAATGATGTGAAACAAGCAAGGGGCTGCTCGGCACATGGATCTATGTCTAGGGGATAGAACCAAACTCCGTAAGTGAACCCGTCCGGGCTTGTGGACACACGCTCGCTGACGCTGGGGCTCTCCACATAGTCATTCGCTCCGTCCATGTACAGTGCCATCTCCATCACCTCCACCTGCTTGTTTGCAACTGCAGCTCGGTACGGCCAGGTACCGATGCTTTGCTGTGTCCCGCACCCTATAGTAATGCTGCCAGAGGTGAAGATTTCTGGGATGAAGTCAGATGGGCTTCGAGGGACAGGTCGCACCCTTTTATACGCATCATTTGCCACGGCTATGGAATACTTACCAACGCTGGGAAGAGCGGGCACAGTGCACCTTGTCTCGTCGTAGTGGATATACTCAGCTGTTGTAAGGCGCCCATCCACCTCACAGTGTAGCCATTGTGACTTGGCAAAGCCAAATCCCAACACACGGACGTTATTGTGACCATCAATGGGGATCAGACGCTCATACACATCCAGATGCTCTTTCCCACACCGATTGGGCATAGGTATAGGCATCCTCGTCCACTCACCTTCTGCATCTAGATTAAATCCGGGTTTGATGACCCGTGTGATGTTGGTTGGGGGACAATCTGTTCTCCTAGGCACAGCAGTCGAAATGCAAGGTGGAAGGTATGGCACCGTTGTCCATAGACGCACTGCTCGAGAATTTGGGAGGCTGGAGATAGCAATTGTAGAAAACAAGGCTGTCCCAAGTTCCCCGTTCGTTGTCGCAGAGTCAATCACATCAGAGCCACCTGCCTCATTGAACCTTAGATGAGAGATAAGCGCTGCATTGGGGTCATCATCTGGGGACGACGAGGGAGGGGTCTCGACCAGTGGACAGTTGTTTGGATAACGTACCTCCCCATACCACATTACTTCATGCACTTCACAGGCCGACAGATGTCGCCCATATACGCGAACCTCCTCGACCAAACCTCGGAAACAGTGACCTACGCCTTCCGATTGCAACAGCCTGCGCCTGCCCGCTCTACCCCCATCCTCTGGGGTACCAGGCGAGGGGGGAGGAGGAGCAGGAGCAGGAGGAGCCTGTGGAGGTACGTTGTCTGGTGCTGGAGGTGGCTGAGGTGGTGGCGGAGGGGAGGGACTTCTGAGTGACTGAGCCTGGTGTGTGCAACCCACATGAAACTGACACGTGGCCATGGCATGGGGAACCATCTGGGTGTCAATCTTCACTGCATCCAGCTGGCCATCCACGTAAAGTTGGGCCGAGCTGTCACTGCCAACAGTCAGCATGATAAAATGCCACTGATCAGGCAGTGCCTGTACTGTGCCCAGGAACTCGCTGTAGATTCCTGAGGGCGTCCGATCAGCATACCCAAAATGTTGATCTTTGCTGTAAAACAGAAAGATTGATGGGTTGCGGATTGACTCATCCAAATTTTGGCCAGCTATGAAAGGAGGAGGTGGTTCAAAATCGAACTGCAGCAGATGCCTGTTATGTTTGCTGGTGCCTTTCTTGTGATGAGGCTGCTTTGAGGAGTGAGATGACACATTTGAGGCGAGAGTTTTATGAGGAGTCGAGGAGGTGGAAGAGGAGGAAGAGGTGGCCAGAGGAGGAGAGGACAATGTAGCAGAGGGAGAAGAGGAGAGAGAAGTTAGCGAAGCAGAGGACGAAGACAGAGAAGATAAAGATGAAGAAGAAGAGGAAGAGGAAGAAGAAGTGGAAGGAGGAGGAGAAGAGGCAGAAGAAGAGGAAGAAGAGGAAGAAGAGGAAGAAGAGGAAGAAGAAGAAAGAGAAGAAGAAGAAGAAGAAGCCAAGGATGATGCAGGCCGTGAAGATGAAGGTCGCAATGCTTGCACCGTCACATTTGTCCCAGCATCTGGTGCCTCAGGTGGAGCAGGTGGAGGAGGAGGACCCTCAACTGGGGTGGCCCCCAAAACCGGTGGAGGCAGCTGATACCCTGCCCACATGAGCAAAATTGAATCTTGGCCACCATCTGTAATGGCCGAGCTGTACGGGTACACCCACATGCCCATGGAATAGCCTTTCTGAGAGCTATTCAGTCTCGAGCAAACTCCATTGGCAGCAACAAACTCGGAGAGTCCATCAAACTCCATAGCTCTCTCCAGATAGTAAATTGGGATAGAGTGGGCAGAGAAGTGCAACCCATCATTTGCCACTTCTACAGGTACTGAGCAAGCTGTTGGATATGGCGGTGCGCAACAGGTGACCAAGCTGGAGTTGATCCAGTAAGCTGGAACCTCATTTCCTTCCCCGAAGCTACACTGCAACCAGGGGCTATGAGCAAAGTTGTTACCTGAAATGTTGAAGCAATCACCACCTGCCACGTGGACAACAGGGACACTGAGGGACGTAGGGCAAGCCTGCTGCAAGGGGGTGACCTCCCACTGAAAGCTCAACTCAGGCACGCCCCCATACATCAAATTGTTCCCTCGCCCAGAGCTGTCAAGCACTGGATGACTTGTGTCGACAAGTGCCATAATTTCGTCCTCGGGCTTTTGGATGGGCCCACTCCCATTCAACCACTGAGGGTACCGTTTGAAAGTCTCCCCCGTGAGCAACGGCCCATCATCGAGCTTGTAGTATCCCACAAGTCCTCGCTCTTTGCTCGGGTCCAGGCTCAGAAACATGCTTTCTGCAATTTCTACCTTGGAGAGAGGCCGTGAATAAATCCGCACCTCATCGATGAACCCCATGGTCGACTCCTGCGGGTAGGACGTCCACCCTGTAGGAAAGGACCCAACGTACAAGTAGCCTGTAGCTGCCATGCTGGCATTCATAAGAACAGTCCCAATCGTTCCAGGTACGAAGTTCCCCAACACGTAACCTCCAACATAGTATGTTTCGTTGACCACGGTGACTGGTCGCCCTCTCGCATTGACAACACCATAATTGGCATAGTTGTGGTCCGTGGCAGACCGAGTTCTACGACCCGCACCATCACCATAGAGGGCAACTTGACCATCCTCCCCTACAGTGACCATCACAAAATGCCACTCATCACTGCAGAAAACGGCATCTGTTTCAACTCGCATAAGACCGTCAAAGTACACAAACTTGTAGAAGTCGCCCATCTTTTTCCTCTGCACCAGCGCCTTGTCATCGTACACCAAGTAGTCCGCCTTCTCCCAACGAAGTTGATGCATGATGCTGAAATTGAGGCTGCCTCCCGTCTCAACAAATCCGGCAGTCAGAATGGGCATGGAGGTCATAGATGGGTCAGGCCTGATCCATGCCCCCATGGTAAGCCCGCAGCCTCCTGGAAAGAGGGCAGTCGCATTCGGCGAGGTCAGGAACGGATTGCCTGGTCCCAGCTTGGCAGCCATGCCCGTTACCACAATATAATAGCACCGCTCATCCCAGAAGCCATCAAGAGTGGTTGCAAAGTCGTTGAGAGTATTGAAAGCTTGGAAGCACAGCCGGTACTCGCACTCGTCAACAGTTGTCCTTGGTACCCAGTTGAACACCAGCTTCATGGGGTCCCCGGCCTCCTCCTCGACAATCTCTGCCCCGTCCGGTATCTTACCTTGTGTCACAACCAACCGAAGTGGTCCCAACCTCGCTCCTTGCCGTGCCTCCAAACGGAATGTCAACAACATTCCTGGACTGACTATGTACTGCGTATTGTTGAACGCGGTATACCCAAAGAACTTCTCCAGATCTTCTTCCGACCACGGGCGCTGATCCATCCAGAAGATAGGTGTGGCCGAAAGTCGCAGATGCACACAGCGCAGCTCACTCATCAAGTACTGGTCGAACGCAAAGAAACAGACCTCCGCGTCATTGGGTCGATCGTCCTCCAGATCCGGCGCCAGGTTCCAAAAAAATTGTCGCTTGATCTGCCGACCCTCCGTGTCATTTCGTGTTGTAGGCCCCAGTTCCATCCATGAATTATCTGTTGTGAACAGTCCAATGTCTTGTATAGAAAGCTCCACGCAGTCATCGTCATCCCTTGCCACCAAGTTGAATGTCATGTTCTCCCCCCGTCTCCCGTACACCCGGGCTCGTCCCACACCCAGATGCGATTTCTCGTCAGGAACCACCGCCGGAGTATATCCGTCCCGAGCCCCATCCACCCATCGAGGGGGCCTGCATGGGATACAACCAAGTTACACGCATCCACCACATACAGTGTCTTCCCTCCTCCCTCCCCCCCCCCCCCCCCCACACACACACACACAAATGCACACAAAGAAAAATATGCATGCACAGAGTGTACAAAATGGTCATTTGACGCTGAAGGTGAAGCACTTTGACCATTGTTCTTAACCAAATGCCAAGATTGACCACTGGCATGTTTGCTTAGTGAGGAAGGTTCACGCTATCGTCATACAAAAGAAACGGAAGGCAGTATTTCATGGACTGGTTCCTTCAGCACTTTTTTTAAGTTGTAGGTGCTTTATGTGATCGACACAAAACAACACCTATCTAGTATCTTCTCTCCTATTTTCCTGTTTCTTTCCCTTTGGCCAATATTAATCTGCCAGGCACTAGCAGCTTGATTGGTGAGTTTTCTATTTTAGCAGGCGCCTCCGGAGCTGAATTGGCAAACATCTCTTTCGCCTGACCCCAGACTTCCAAACCGTCTCGCGAACAGAGCCCTTCTGGGAACTGCGGGCTTCGATGGTCCAGTAGGGTGAACAAGCAAGTGGCTCCCACGTGCGTGGCACGATCCCACGAAGGCCTGCGGAACAGTGGTGTGCTTCGAAGAGGAGTCGAACAAAGCAGTCATGGAACTCACAAACACAATTCAAACCACCAGTACTTAGGCGCCCTGTCAATTTCCGCCACGGCCGGGTTTTGCCGAACCAGCGAGGGCTCCAAATTTGACTTTTTTTTCTGGCTAGCGCCGCCAGCCTTCTCAGTTCGGTAGCCCGAGACCCAAAAGATGCGGCACGTTAACGGTCCCATTCTCACAAATAGCTGGGAAAAGTACTGGTGGTTTACCTGTTAGGAAATATTCTGCGATGAGCTCGCAACTATGCTCATTGGCGTGAGTGATCGTGATGACACAAGCAAGCACGCCAAATCGCATACTTCTCTGCTCACGAGCTTCAGACGTAGATAGGGTTAGGACCACATTCACAGCCCCCTTATATTTCACATTGGTGTTGACTGGGTTTGCGCACTGCAGTCAGCTGACTTCTTTGGCATGACTAAAAGTTCAACTTGGTGGCTGTTCAGACTGCCAGCCAGCTGATAGGATAAGAATGGCATGATAGGTGCAAGGGTTGGGGTCCATGGGGCTATAATTGTGGTATACTATGGAAAGAACTTGGGCTGCATTCGAGCCAGATTCATGCTATTCTACCATTACTGTTGCGTAATCGATGGGATGGGGCACGGTGGGGCACGGCTCTGTGATTCACCACACTATCTTTCAAGAAATTTCAGTCTTTCATGGAGATCTGCAACCAGCCTCAGGGCATACTCACACCACGACTTCCATGCATGTATCCAACCGGATGGCTCTGGAATCTGGATGAATCTGACCGCAATTATGTCCAGAGAGATGAGTGGAAAAAAAAGTCCTAGTGTGAATATCCCCCCTCCACAACAACAAAAAAAAAAAAAACATTTCACAACTTTGGTACTCAAAAAAAAGGATGAGGCCAGGAACCCTCAACAAAAAACCTGGAAAATACTGGGACCACTGCCCAGCTTAGGTGCAGGGACTGAGTTAACTTCTACAGTCTTCCCCCGAATACAACGTACGGTCATTATAGCTGAATTTGGTGCATCTTTCAGTCTAAATTCAGCTATAATGACCGTACGTTGTATTCGGGGGAAGACTGTAGCCTCTAGGAGCAGAAATGACACCACTCCAGGTGGCTTCCCTGAGAAACTCAGTTCTGGTAAAAAAGCTTCTGCCACAAGGCCCTGAAAAGCCAAACAAGCACGAAAAAAACAAAATATCGTACGACCCATCCGTGCCTATATATCGTCAAACAGAGCTTCCCGGTAAACTGTAGACAGAGAGGAGAAGAGGACAATACACAAGGAGCTGTGACAGACTGTTTAGTCAGCGTTCCACCGACTCATCAGCTCCAAAATTCCTCCACAAAGTAACTGCATAATCAGCATTGACAACTAGTAATCAGTATTTCACATTTAAAATTAATTAAATACTATTAATTTAATTTAACTAAGCTTTCTTTTTTCTTCTTTTTCTTCAAACCGCACGGGGGAGCTAGAGGGGGCGGCTGGTTGCTCCATTCTATAGGTGGGGAGCATCACCTGCTGGAGACCGGATCCAGCGTCCCATAGACATGCTTGTGACCACGCCACCGGGGGGCCATTACCCGGCTTCGGCTCTGAGACCCCACGGGGGGCCTTATATGTGAAACTATTACAGCATACTTCCGTGGAAGCTGATTAATGTCCTCTTCAGCCACCCGGGCCGCCAGGAAGGTAGAATTGTTTTGGCCGTTGATGTCAGCTGCCTCCGTACTACTAATTAAGCATTACTTGAATGATGTATTAGTGAATCAGTAGTGATCAATCACATTTACAGAGACACAATTCTAGCACAGAATATTATCACTCGGAAAGATTTCTTCAAGAAGACTGTCCAAATACGGACTCCAGTCCTCCGCCTGCAGACTCTGGAAATCGAGGGCCCTCGCTCGCAAACCCAACAGAGCAGAGGAGTTTGGGGAGTCGGACTCACGTTGGGACCCATCTCTCAGTATTTTGCCTTTGTCCTCATGTGCTCAGCAGAACAGAGAGTCGTTTGAGAGTGCGGCCTTCGAGAATAGGTGGAGCATGGAGACCAAAATTGAGCTTTCAAAAGTCCGACAACTCTCGACCTTCACTCAACCTTCCCTCGATTTCCGTATTGAATCAAGACTCAAGAGTCGTGCAGTCCGACCCATTGAATCCTTTCAAAGGCTGACGCCATGGGTGGCTCCTCAATTCATCCAAATTTGAGCATAATCAAGATGGACGCCTGCTGTGCCTCTACGAATGGCAAAGCAGAACTGGAAGGGAAGGAACTTCACAAGTTTGGCAGCCCCATAGCTCGCACGTGACTGATGGCCATACACTTAGAAATCTCATCTGATGGTAAGATTTCAGGTCAACCCTTTTTTCAAAATGTCCCACTCAAGAGAACAGTGTGAGGCACGACCTCCCGCGTTAGGAAAAAAGGTTCAGCAGAGTGTTTATGGGCCTCGCCACACTACTCGTGAACAGAGAAAAATGGCCAGTGCATCCTCACGCAGCCGGTGGCCAGGTATATCCACCACTATTCTTAGCACCACATACATCTTGCCACGTTCTGTGTGTGCTCTCGCCAACTCTCCTCGTTTCGCGAGTAATGCAGCGAGGCCCTGTGTCTCTCTATTTGTGACCGCATGATACTCACGCTGTGTATGTCAATGTGTGTCTTCTTTATTTTGAAGACTGCATTGAGTCAAACCAATTCAGAGGAAAGATTTGTAATGCCAGTGGATCTTCTAGTGCCAGATGGATCTTCTGGCTCTTCTAGTGCCAGATGGAACCCTTGGCACTTCTAGTGTGCCAGATGGATCTTCCGACACTTTCTAATGCCAGATAGAACTCCTGGCACTTCTAATGCCAGATGGATCATCCAGCACTTCTAGTGCCAGATGGATCATCCAGCACTTCTAGTGCCAGATGGATCTTCTGGCACTTCTAGTGCCAGATCGATCTCCTGGCACTTCTAATGCCAGATGGATCATCCGGCGCCCCGAGTGACAGATAGCACCTCTATTGCCAGATGGATATTCTAGTTCCAGACGGATATGGCAGCAAAAGGTCTTCTGGTGCCAGATGAAACCTGGGACCCAATGATATTGCGTATCCGATGGAATATTAAGGATCAACCATGTGGAGTAAGAAACTGAAGGCTTTAGCTATTGTCATTGCAATACGTGCAAGCAGGCTTCATAGACAAGACAGGCCCACAGTCACCCACTACTCGTAGCAGCAGGGTATGTTCAAATGACAAGCTTGTACTCAGCTTTCACTTGCCGGCGGATAGGAACCGGACTTACGCTCCGCAGAATGGACAAGGAGCCAGGGCCATAAGGACCATTAAAAAAAAAAAAAAAAAAAAAAAAAAAAAAAAAAGAAAAGAAAAGAAAGGAGATGATAGGTTTTGATGTGAGCCTATTGACTGCCAGTCGTCCCGATCTGTCATCTGGACAGCTGATAATCAATTGGTGAGAGTTTGGTGCACATCTGAACCAATCCTGCCGTCTTCCCCCAAATACAACAAACCCTCATCACGAATGTGTACACGCAATCTTTTCGTTCCTTTACAGTCATGATAAGGGTGTATTGTATTCGGGGGAAGACGGTATCGGGACCGTATCCCAGTGTCCCGGATGGATTCTGGGTTGCAGAGAAAACAGCTGGGCTACATGGTACAGAAGAGACTCAAGGTCATACTCACGCTACCAGTAGAATCTTCCTGGACATGCACATGTATCTGACAGCAAGGAAGTCCAGAGTCCAGATCTCAGTCGAAAAAGTCCTCCTAGTGTGAGTTTGATCTCAGAGACGTAATGGCTATAACCTTAGTTAAAGTCCGGTTACCAAGGACAGGGTTGTAGAGAAACAGTGCTAGTGTGAGTATGATCTCAGAAAAGTAATGGCTATAACCTCACTTAGTGTCCGGTTAGCACGAACATAGTTGCAGAGGAAAAGACCTAGTGTGAGTATGCTCTCACATAAGTAATGGCCATAACGTCGGATAGGAGGAAAACAAAAAGGAGACCCTTTTAAATGGCCCGATCTTCTCTCAGAGAAGGAATGGCTATAACCTCAGTTAAAGCACCAGTACGTGGGCGCCTGCGCCGCGGGTCTGACACCTCTAATTCTGGAGGCGCGAAACGAAAACGAGGCCAGTGATCGAATTTATCAATGGTGGGCCCAGCGTTTGACATTTCGGCCTCATTTTCTTGTGGCGACAAGTTTCGGACTGCAAGGCTGAGGCCTTGTACTTGTGGTTTAATGTGAGCAGGTGCAAATCGGTCCGATGGCTACGTCAGACCACTCGGCTGTTCCAGCAAGTTACCCCGTGGGCAAGCTCAAGATGGGCCATCCGCCGAAGGCAATCCCGG